ACACCCTTTCACTCATACCAGATTTGAAAAAAAATAATATTTGCTTTCAAAAAGTGGTACCAAACTGTCAAAATTGCAGTTTTTGCTAAATTTACGTCACTTCTGTTGCCGAAAGGAAAATGTACCGGTAACAAAATAAATGACATTTCGGACCACGGAGCATATGAACTTTGTTTTATACAAATTGAACAATAAATAATTAATCCAGGACTGAAAAACTGAATTAGCCAATGGGGGCAAAGGAAAAATATGGTGACAAAAAATGTTGCCATTTTTGGTCAAATCAGATGACTCTTTAACTCTAGGTAAATACCACATAAAAATATTCATTAATAAAAAAGTTTTTCGTAAAAATTTAAATTTTCAAAATTTGGCGCCTAATATCTCCGAAGATTCGCCGAAAATAAAAAAATCTAAAGAACTGTAGCTATGTGCCTTGTCTCCGGCTATGTCAAAATGTATCAAATATTACAATCCGACAATTATTGATAACATTACGGCAAAATTTCGAAAAACGACAACTTTGGTGATTTCGGACATTTCGCATTGTCGCAGAACGTTAGAAATAGCTTTAAAATTTAAGTCAAACCCACTTTCCCAAAAAAAAACGAAGACATCGAAATCGAATCGATCCGACAAGTAGTTTCCAAGATATGCTCAAATGGAAAAATACTAATAAGAAGAAGTAGAAGAATAATAATCTGAACAAAAACAATAGTGTTTCACACAAGCTACGCAGTGTGAAACCCTAATTAGGAAAAAGTTTATGTACATAAAAAAAAACATGGTGTTAAAATTTGCTGTCATGAGAAGAGGGGGGTCATCTTCCCCCTTGTCTTAATAAAGTCTAGATAAAACTGGAGGTCCAGCTGGTTGATGTTTGGTACTGGGTGATATGTCATTCCGGATAAAAAAAAACCTATAGGGAAAAAGAATCCCCTATCCCCCCCCACTCCTCCTCTAAACTCTTTTGGTATGTACCTATGTATAACTCTCTCTTATCTATGTTCTTTAACTATACCTACTACTCATACCACACCTGTAATCAAATGTCCAATATCTATCTCTCTAGCAGACTTGATTACTGCTGGGAGACGCCTCCACCCCAGGTGAGAACCAATCAATTCACTTGTCATTTCTTTTGTTGACCAATTACCTGCTTGAACAACCTATCAATCACCTGCCTATTCTCCAGGTAACCAACAACAAGTGATATGTTTGTTCAGGAATTGTCAATGTGTAATGAGGCGTGGTTTTATCCTGACGAGGTGAGAAAATCAGATAAAAACTCATAATAACAGGTGATTAAATCACTTGATACAGGTAAATATTTAATCAGCTCTGGGATTTAATGACTGTAAGAGTTGTTAGGATAAATTGATCAGTTATTGGTGAATGTTAATCACAGGTAAATGAACAACAAATTAGATTATCAGGTATAATAGAGGAGAGGAAATAAGTAGTTTGATTACCACAGATCATAAAATACTTTACATTGTTGAGTAAACAAATAAAACAATGTTAACAGCTTTTGTTTTCCAAGAAGTAATTGAGAATGTTAAAGACTTCAACCTCCCTGTTTTAATATACATTTTGCTGGAAATCTTTTATTATAACGAAAAAGCTATATAATTAAAGACACAACAAGTCAGTTTGTTCATGTTTTAAAAGTAAAAAATATGTATCATTTTAAGGTCAAGATGGATGTTATTATGTAATTGTTATTATGTAATTGAGAGTATCTGAGTACAAAAATACCTTTATGTAGAACGGCTGGCTTTTATGAAAAAGGTAGCATGATTATTATTCCTGCACTTGTCTTTGAGATACAAGATGACAATGTGAAATCAATATAAACCAATGTGAACATAAAATGACCATAACTTATGTTAGAATTGATCAACCTGATTTATGTTTGGATCAAAATATTGTTTTAAAAATTAAAAAAAAATTTTTTTTAGTTTGATTGTGTATGGTCTTCAATTTAACCTTTATTCTGTCGCATTGGAGCTTTGAAAATATGACTTATAACTTGTACTTTAACTTGTACATTACTGTAGGACAATCAGTGACCAGATAAAAGATTTTATTGAAGCAGAATCATTTAAAGTTAAATTTTACTAAACCAGTTTTTGAGGAGGGTGATGTGATCTTTATAAAACTAACAACCAGTCTTAATCTAGATCTAATTGCATAAAAGGTAAAATTTCAATTTTGAAATAGTTGAAATATTTTAATCAGATAAATACATGTAGAGTTACAGACTGCGAGATTGTGGCACCCAGATCATATGGTATAAGTTTATTATTGTGTAAATACACTATAGCTGGTAGGTAGATAGGTTATATCAATAACATATTATCATAATATATAAATTATTAGCCTTAAATAAACCTTGGCTCTTGTCAGGTGTGTCACAACAGGTAGATCATATGTAATAATTATATATGCTTTATTGTTATTCATTAAAACATAAAGGTTTCATAGACCAACTGACATATATCATAATTTTGTTTTTGTTTTTTTTTTTTTGCTTAAATGTAACACCAGGTATGATTTAGGTATATATATATATATATATAAGGTTTAGGTTTTAAATTATTAGAAATATAAAATGTTCTTATTTATCTATCATATTTGAAACCTACAATACATGTTTGTGTATGCTTTGATTACATAATTATAGATACAGAAAGGGTCATGCAATGTTTGCCAGGATTGTGGCATAACTTTATAGATTGATAAAAAGAATAAAAATTGTTTGTGGATTTTTATTTACTGTAAAAGAAAATAAAGAATATAACTAATAAAGGGTTAGTCATTTCTGTTAAGGTGAGAAAATTTCAGTCACTACTATTTGACAAATTATGAAACCCTCTGTTCTGATCTTCAATATCAGTTTTGAATTAACCACATCATTTATAATAAAGAATATTCATAAATTTTAATTTAAGTTATTAATTGTTAATTAGTGTGTGTGTTTTTATTTTATTATCATTGTTATTTTTCTTTTCACGAAAGGGGGGGGGGGGGTGGTATTTACGAATTTAATTATTAAAGTACCCTTAATCTGATTTGTTTTTTATTTAATTTTTCAATAAAACAAATAACTGTGAGTGTGATGTACCTTGATTTATAAATAAAGGAATAAACTTAAACAGAAACCGCCACAGAGAGACATGACCATCTAAAGATAGGAACCATTGCACCACTACTAACAAAGAGAATTCTTCATTTGATCTAAATTCCAGAGTTAGCTACGACGACCTGCATCTTCTGAACTCCCAAGCTACCGTAACAGTAGCAATACATACGCCCCACGACAAGACACGGCGCTTGTCTTTATAACCCCTGCCTGTCTTGCCTGCAATAACTCCACGAGACAAGGGTCTTTTTCACACACGAATTAACCAATCAAAGACAAGATATTATCAACTTGGGAGAAAAAATTCCAGGACGTTCGTGACCTCGTGCTGCCGTTCACTTTCATATATCACGTGTAGAAATTGACGCGTCACGAATAAGATGAAAATATAAACTAAACGGTACACATTTCACACGGCGACAAAGAAAACATTCACGTAGTCTGATCATTATAAATACGCCATTATTTACCCCTAACACGATTATTTACTTAATTCCTAATTCTTGGAAATCAATTCCAACGAGAAATAGTCCCATATTCTATTTGCCAAGGTAGCAAGTGCCGAAGGGTCATTAATAAATTAATATAATTAACCTACGATCGGCTACGTTCTAGAAGAGATAAATTAGCCGTTTTACAGTTATTTGCAACAGTGTTGCTGCCTACAATGTGTGGATGTCACATGTTATACAATGTTGTAACTACGTAATCTTATAATGTCGATTACCTGACCTGGCATCTATTTTGAAACAAGACAAAAATGACAACAAAAACTCCAGATGTGAGAGAGGAATAAATAAATCGTTAAAAAATAGTCGAAGAAAAAGTCAATAAATACCCTCACGATTCCGATAACAGCCGCGAATGGCTCGTCCAAAACATAACGCGATTTTTTTTTTTAAATTCTAAATAAAATATTTATCCGCCATTAAAAGAAAATAGGTGTGTGGTGTAAACAACTTCAACATGATGAATATATTTCCCAGAGACGAATGAAAGATGCTAGATTCTCGACACAGAACACAGGTCGCGAAACGGTAATTCGATCCAAACGCCCATTCCATATGGTCGTCTTCAAAACACAAATATTATCAACAATCTGCCTGGTCTATCACAAGATATAAAACTCATTCATTGTTGATAAATTTACATGAATGGCAACTAAAATACCAAAAGGTTATACCAGCTTATTATGATAATAAAAATATGTATTATGTACTAAACTACAGAATGTATTCGACAGTCGCAGCAAAAGGCATTGATCGCCCAGCCTCGCACAGCTCTTGACGATACGACCTCATTTCACCACATCAAATACAGAGAGACGAACGACATTTACATAAACAATTCGCTCACATCATCTTAATAATTTATTCACTGTAAATTTTAATGTTAGCACCTGGGTTCGGCACTAACAAAATTTACAAAGTTTGGAATTTGAACTGACAAGATATAACAGCATCAGAATTCTTGTCGTCACATACTATAGATGATTTTGAAATATGGTTTCCATCAAGTCGTCACTCAGCGTGAAGGCCGCCACGATAAGATATGTCCACCTTTAATTCGATCACACCTAGACAAAGGTTCAGAAATACATTCTAACAATTTTTTACCAAAGAAGCAATGGAATTTATCCCCTTGTGGATTTGTCTGACAACTGTCGCCCCTGGAATCGGTGTCGGGAATAACGACGGCTGTACTCGATGTTAAGCGCGCCAGGTATTCCTAGGTAACAACCTGATAAGAAACCCCACCTCACCCACTATAAATCTATTTTTCTCAATTAACAATAAGCTGACAACATTCACATTCCATTCCAAAACATAATAAGCCGTGAAAATGAAGATCTTACCGTTTTTTCGCCTTGGATTTTTCTGTTTACGTCTGCCGTACCTGCCTTGTTCAGCCATGTTCTTGATTCAATCGGGTTTATGTTGGACCACTAGAACTCATTAATGCGCATGTACCGTTACAACCCGTTCTTAGTTTCCGGTCAACTCGACTTCGGCTCGTGTCGCCGTAGAAACGACCCTCAAATTTCCTACTTTTAAATGTGTTTCCTGAAATTTAACCCGATTAATAGACTCTTATTTCACGTGATTTAGAGAACTGCACTGTTAACTTCCTTCATCAGTATAATTAAGAGGGTATCACGAGCATGACGAGTTAAAAAATGACACCTCATATCCCGAGGGAATTCCCAGGTATCAACCGATTTACTCCATTCCTGAACGTGATGTCATTCCGCACATATTTTATTAGAAAACACCTTTTTATGAACTGTAATTCAAAGCTACTCTGATTTTAGTTTTGTTTGAAGAAATCAAATTTGAGTCCTTTCCCAAAATAAAGGGAAGATATGTGTCATTTATATTTTTGATATCTAGAATTTTCGCCTAATTAAGGCTCTTTTTATTTATTTTTTTGTGTAATCTTTTTATAAATATCAGGCTATCGTGACTATGAAAACTTTGCTAGAACTATATTGGTAATTACACCTGCTTTATTTTTTTTCTTAGTAATAGTTGCCGAAAACCACCTATTAATGGGAATTATCACCTGAGAGATATAGGCCTAGATTGTTTGGGAATGGTATCTTAAAAGATTGTTTTGAAAAATTTGATGAATAGGCCTATTTCAGTATTTGCTGACAACGGCGAATTCGAACTGCGAAGGGTTCTTTTAAGGGCACGCCAACGGGTACACGACACGTCATTTTTTGTATCACCCGAACGACTAGATGTTGTTCATTGCCAGACCCCTCCCCCCCCCCCCCCCCCGTCCTGCTCCCCTGAAAATGAGAAATCACGCTGGAAAATCCCGATGAACTTTCTCAGCCAACACCTTGATCGAAACCACAGTGGCTCACTCCCCACCCTCTCGTTTTATGTTCTAATATAATATAGTTTAGTTTTATAGACTGGCTATGGCAGTCCCGTGGTGGACTGTGTCCGAATCTTTGTGTTGATAGACTGATGGTGTCATCAATTTTCTCTAATTTAGTTGGAAAAATTAACTCATAAAATAAAAGTTAAGGCCCTGTAACCTGTTTCATTTCCGTATACACAAGAATTATTTCCTAGCGTGTGAAAGAACGTGTATAAGCCAAGTTTGGTGATCATTGCCGTTTGCTGTTCCCTGCCAACAGTTTTAACCATTATCATTCAATGGTAGTATATCGACACAAAATAGCGGTGCCCCAATTACCGAATCGTCACCATTAGTCATGGGTGTGTATGTGTTTATTTCTACCTCCAAACATTCGCTTTAGAACTCTGAAATTTGATCCGCGTGCTCTCATCGCTAACTCTAGACCAAGCCAGGAGAACAAGCACAGTAGTACCTTTATGTCAATTTGTGTCGTCTGCTAAGCAGGGGTGTGCACGAGTGGTTCCTTGCAGCCTTTCTTTATATCATTTGACGTTCCTAAATATGAACATCGGAATTATTGGTACGCCATCTTGGTGCGATAATTTGATTTCTTTTGTCACGGCTGAGTGGTCGATGCTTTGAAATTATTGATATGATGTAGACCACGCGCGCACGCGATGTATAATATTCACGAAAATATAATAACATTATTTATCACTACGTTCCACGGGGCAGACAAATGCCGGGTCACGTGGCTCGCGGTTAATGAAATTAACTTTTCGCTTTCGAAAAATAAAACGACAATAAACAAAGATACATTCGGCCATGCATTTCAAGATTTAAACATACACGCCGTGTTTGCTGTATAATTGAATAGTCTGTAATGAAATAAGCCACCTTCAACAGTCTGGCCTGTTATGGGCTTTGCAATAAAATGACGCAAATAGCATGTCATAAATTAATACAATAATATAGCTATAAATTGCGAGTATATTTCTAGAGGCGGCTCCAGGTGTATCCGGTGGCTGAGGGCAGAGCCAGAAATGTTTTAAAAAATCCCCTGTAATACGTGATTCCGGGATGAACTGTAAACAGGAATAATTACCTCTTAGAATCAATCAGAAAAGAGGAAGATTGGCTATATTCGAGTGAAAAATAAAGTCAGTCGTGGCTGTAGCCTATACATGCAATATTAAATCTTGGATAGATTTTTAAATTCGAGTATTTACCAAGGAAGCAAAATCACTACTTGACGTAATGGAAATGAATATTCTAACTTAATACAATTTAATATGATTTTATTGAATGTGAAATTGCCACTTAAATCCATTTGCAAAATAAAACGTTTAACTGTTTTTGTACACCCACATTTCATTGTTGGCGTATTATATTGTCGCCCGGTCCGTCAACAATTTTGGTTTGTAAACGCGAGTTCATTCAAATTTGGAGTGAAGCGTTGGGGTCAGGAGAGGACGAACCGTTTTTTCGGCGTTCCACGACCTTCCGTTCAAGAGTTATGGTCACTTACCGAAAACCTTGTGAACGCAATATACGCTACGGGTTTTTTTTTATCAAATTTGGGTGAAGCATAGGGGTCATGAGAGGACGAACCCTATCGATATACAGCGTTCTGTAACCTTCCGTTCACCCCCTTTTTTCCGAAACCCCTGTGAACGCGATTAAATGATCCATATCGCATCCTACGATTTATCCCAATTTCTGGTGCAATATTCAGGTTCGAACTGATTTTACAACTCCGCATCTTCAGGGGAATTATAAGAGCGCTGAAGGACAACTGTACAAACGTTGTTACATCTCTCTAATATTTTCCACTAACAATAACACATCTCTTGCACATGCGTAACATCCGAAACTTGTGCATAGACGTTAAGGAACAACCATATCAAAGTTTTGGGTGGTGTTTGCTGTATGATCAAATATAATAATCCAACTTCACACTGCCGTATAATAAAGCTTCATAGTTAAGACTGTATGTAGATACAAACGTACTTAGGCCCGGCGGAGTGAGGAGGGGGGTGGGGGCGGGTAGACATTAGTACGTTTGGCGGCAAGTACTCCTTTGTCCGGTTTCCGGGTTATTGCACGCAAGTAACTATTCGATTAAAACAAAACATTCAGAAGAGGAAAACTCTGCTATGCTCTATACTGGTCCCTGGGTTAAGAGACACACGGATGCGAGGGTGGCGATTAGACAACTGAACAGATTAGGCAATTAGAAAAACGACGGGATAGAGTTTTTATCACTCTTACCTTGTGTCCCTTATCCGTCAAATAATTCACTGCTATCAGTTATGACCAGTTAAAACAAGCGGTTGTCATGCAAGATACGCCTGCATTTTGCAAGAAATGGGTGGGGAAGGGGTAAAATCGATAAGGCTCATCCTTTGATCCTTCACATATTTGTTAAGTTTCATTAGAATGGGACAACAATTCATACATATTTCAAATTTTGCGTGGAAGGCAAGGGCTATAACTCTAGAATTTATATGGCCTGATGAGTACCAAAGTCAAACTTATCAAAGAACTTTTCATCCTTAACACATACATGTAGTTTAAGTTTCACTGTAAAGGGTCCACAAACTTTATCCATATTTCACATTTTATGTAAAAGTCAGTCAGGGGCCGATACGAACGAAAATTGAACTCACCCATGCAAGAACTAGTGATAGGCCTACTCGTTTTAAGTTTCATCCAAGTCGGATACAACTGTGACATCTAGATGGCCCAAAACCTATCTATTACATGCTTTTATTATACTACTATCAGGATACCCGGCATCGCTCGGGGGTCATAACTCCGAAACCGGAAGTGGTAGACTAACGTCACCTGACCTATGTTACTCCCCGGTCCGAGCTACCCCTATACCCCACATTTCAGACTCGGGGCAGACCTAGTGTAGCCGCCAACCCCGAACAGACAGACAATCAGACAGACAAACGAGTCACAAATATTAGTATACTAGCAGGATACCCGGCTTCGTTCGGGGGTCATAACTCCGAAACCGGAAGTGGTAGACTAACGCCACCTGGCCTATGTTACTCCCCGGTCCGAGCTACCCCTATACCCAAATTTCAGACTCGGGGCAGACCAAGTGTAGCAGCCAACCCCGAACAGACCGGCTTCGCTCGGGGGTCATAACTCCAAAACCGGAAGTGGTAGACTAACGCCACCTGGCCTATGTTACTCCCCGGTCCGAGCTACCCCTATACCCCAAATTTCAGACTCGGGGCAGACCTAGTGTAGCCGCCAAACCCGAACAGACAGACTTCGCTCGGGGGTCATAACTCCGAAACCGGAAGTGGTAGACTAACGCCACCTGGCCTATGTTACTCCCCGGTCCGAGCTACCCCTATACACCAAATTTCAGAGTCGGGGCAGACCTTGTGTAGCCGCCATCCCCGAACAGACCGGCTTCGCTCGGGGGTCATAACTCCGGAAGTGGTAGACTAACGCCACCTGGCCTATGTTATTCCCCGGTCCGAGTTACCCCTATACCCCAAGTTTCAGACTCGGGGCAGACCTAGTGTAGCCGCCAACCCCGAACAGACCGGCTTCGCTCGGGGGTCATAACTCCGAAACCGGAAGTGGTAGACTAACGCTACCTGGCCTATGTTACTCCCCGGTCCGAGATACCCCTATACCCCAAATTTCAGACTCGGGGCAGACCTAATGTAGCCGCCAACCCCGAACAGACAGACAGACAGACAAACGACAGTCACAAATATATATATAGATAAAAGAATTGCGTAAAGGGGAGCGGCTATTTGACGGTAAATATGGTGTAACGGTGATATATTTGAACAGTTTTGAAAACAAGATAAAAATTGTGAACTCAAGACTGTCCATAAGCTAAAAAAGTGATATTTCGTACAATCAGGGGCTCATAATCCAGAAAGTTACGGTCCAATTGTAATACGCGTTAATATCAACAGGAACCCAGATCTTTGAGATATAAATATATATTTTAAGTTTCACCAAAATTAGATAAAAAAAATTCGAACCTCTGGATAGACCACAACCTGGGTATTACGTTCAGATCTAAATATTTAGGCCACCTGCAGATTTCGTCAAGGTCACGAGATGTAAAGAGGGTTAGGGCACGTGATTTTTAGTTAGGGTTGGCGCCACTCCTGTTTACATCTCGTGACCCTGACGAAATCTGCAGGTGGCCTTAATATTTAGATATAACCTGAGTATTACACACTTTTAAGGGGAAATCCCCGGTTG